CGGTCTCTACTAAAAATACACAAATTAGCTGGGCGTGGTGGCACGTAGTCTCAGCTGCTCGGGAGGATGAGGCAGAAGAATCACTTGGACCCGGGAGGCGGTTGTTTCAGTGAGCCAAGACTGTACCACTGCACTCCATCCTGGCAACAGAGTGAGACTCTGTCTAAAAAAAATAAATAATAATAATAATTGCAACATGTAAAGAACTTTGCAAGTGTTTATTTTCACTGTTTTCTATTATTGTACTCCAGAAGTTATAACTCGTAATAGCATTCAAAATAATGCTTATACTTTACAAGGCAGGCTGAAGGAAAAAAATTAAGCAAAATAAATCAAATTCTAAGAAAGAAACAAGTTATGAACAGTGAATTTCAAAGGACAGGAGAATTAAAATTTTCTTTTGGAAGTAAGATTATGAGGGTAAAATGCTAAGAAGGAGTTTTATTTAGTTATTTTTATGAAAATACTAGTCTGTATAAGCACAATGAGCACAAAAACAGTGATGAAATAAGGAAAATTGCAAAACTTTAATAAAATGTCGTATGTAAATAGTCACTTAAACTTAATTTCTTTTAGACAATAACTTTTCTCTGATATACAACCATACAAAGCACTTATAACACATAGTTTTATTAAGCTAGCTATGTCATCAGGTAAGATTCAATAATAGTACATATTGAAAAAAGTGTCATGTCACCTCTCCATTCCTGAAATATAAACTCTCATAGCCTATTAATATGGGCTAGAACTTTGCCAATCAGTGACTGTTCAGCAAATCTAGATTTTGTTTTTCTCTTGTATTTAGCAATAAGATGAATCCTTTCTTGGGCACTGGTGACAGCACGTCTATCACTAGGATTTATTCTGCCAAAAGTTGGCATTGAACAGAGCCTGCGATAGTCTTACATAGCAGTGAATGGAAGGGTGGGTATGGGGGATCAGGGACAGCCTTTAAAATCGATTTTAATTCTGCTTAAAGTTAAATGGAATGGTATGACCCTGCTTGTAGACAATCTCTCTGTGGCACAGTTCCATGAAAATAAGTTCTATATTGATCCCTAACGTTAGTATGTCTATTAAACTAAGTCCTTCCAATGTATTTCATACCAAATTGAAGTTTTTAAAAAATATTGTATCATTGTTATTGCTTCATAGAATTGTTCTGAGATATGATCATTTGGGGGAAAGGGAGCTTAATTTTCTTCCTGAATATTTCCTGGACAATGTAAAATGCATTTAAGAAATAAATTTTCCAGTCTATTAATTGTATAAACTCTTAACTACCCCATTTGCTTGTCCTACTATTTATCCTTTCCTTTCTTTTGTTATGCTTCTCTTTTTGTGGGATACTATACCCTTCACTGCCTTCTTGACCTAGTCCTGATGTTCATCTCCCTTTCCTGAGAGCTCATTTACTCCTAGTCAGGCACAATGCTAAAAGCTAAGGAACTAATCCTAACAAAACACATGTTAGTGTATAACCCAGTCTTGGTAAATTTGGAAAGGCTCCTTGATGGAGATAGCATCCAAGCTAAACCGAAAGGATAAATAGGAGTTCGTTAGCCAGGTGAAAATGGGGGCAAGAACACATTACAGGATATGCAAAGGCCCTGAGGCAGAAAGAACAGGGCGCAGCTGGGAACCACTGGTAATTTTGTGTGGTTTAAAGAATATACTTAAAAGATGAGAAAGCATTATAATAAGTTGGAGAGAGAAACTCATGAAGAGCTTGGGCATGAAGAAAACAATTCAGCTTTTGTTTGAAGGGCAGATAGAAACTGTTCAAGCACTTTAATCAGTAAACTAACATATTCCAATTTATACCCTAAGAGTATCTCTGGAACAAGGTAGAGAATGATTTGAATAGGGTCATTTGAGAAAAAAGAAAGAAAGAAAGAACATTAATTTTCATTACATGGTACTGGTGCTATTGTTAAATTATGTTTGGTTTGATTCTATTATCTTTAAAAATCTGAAATATAAATCATTTAAATAGAGGATACAGATGTATTTTATTAAACCCATGCTAAAATACTTACACCACACAGCCAGCAAAAATCTTGCGGTGGTGTGCCATGGCCCGTTGTGCATGATTTGTGCAGTTGAGACAATAGGCTGGAGAAATCTTGCACTACGTGTGTAACTAGGTAGTTTGTCATAGTGAAAATGATTTTGCTGAACAAATCTTTTCTTCTCCTAGAGAGTTATATGCTAATTAAAATATCTAATCGAAGAAAGGTGCATTCGTTTAGAAAGCATTTGTCAGTACCTACATAATCCTCAAGAAGGGAAAGAAGACAATTGAAAAACAGAGCTTCTATTTTAAAATTAATTCCCACTCTACTTCAGAGGCCTCCTGAACAAGTTAAGTTGAGCATGAGATTATTTAACTAATAACAGGTAACTGCTAAGAATCTCCATTTTTACGTGATCAAACTAAAGAAGACAAAGAAGAAATCGTAATGCTTTGTTTGAAACAAAAACTGTAGCTCATTATCAATGAGAAGATTATAGTCCCTGTCAAAAAATTAAAAGTTGCTCAAAACCGTCCCTTCAGAAGTACAAATGAGAGCTGGCATTATTTGAATTAAAGGATAATTCCAACTTTAATAGTTAGAGAAAATAGTTGGAGCTAGCTTTTAACTACTGCCTTACTACTTCCCTATCTTAGTTCATTTTCTACTACTGTAACAATACCCAAGATCAGGTAATTTATAAAAGACAGAATTGTTTCTTATAGTTCTAGAGGCTGAGAAGTTCAAGGTCAAGGGCCCCACAACTGGCAAAATTCTTCTTGCTGCATCATCCCATGGCAGAAGGCAGAAGGGCAAAGAGCATACAGTTTGTGGGAAGGATGGAGACAGGTGGGAGGGGACCAAACACACATCCTCTTATCAGAAACCCATTTCCTAGATAACTAGCCCCCTCCCACAATAATGGTGTTAATCCATTCATGAAGGCAGATCCCTCAGGTCTTAATTCCCTCATAAAAGTTCCACTTTTCAACACTCTTGCACTGGGGATGAAGTTTCTAACACATGAAGTTTGGGGGACACATTTAAACTGTTGCATTCCCCAAGTAGTATGATGTCAAAAAGGATTTTTCTGTCAGCTGGAAAAATCAGCACAAAATGTTCTTACATCTCAGCAGTGACACCACTGACACACTTTTTTTTTAAGCTAATACTTTCTAAAAATTTAGTTTTTAAGTTATTCAGTTTTCTTGATTGTAGGTAATGTTTTCTTTTTAAAACATTTGATTGATTATATATGCAAATTATAAATATTAGAGTCATTTTTATTGTGTATAGTTGTAAGCTTTCAATTGCACTTAGTATTTTGAAATATGTTATTAAATGTTATGTTGGGATTGTGTTATATGTTTAGTGTCAGCTTTATTTTTTTAATCATGAGCTTTGATTTGGCAAAAGTAAATATTGAAATAACTGTATTGCCATTTTGCTCTGCTACTGCTTTCATTAACAAAAAGTTGATGATGGGGAGCTGAACATAGGTAGTGATGATTAGAAAGAAAAAAATAAGTGGATTTCAAATAAAGGCATGAGACAGAATCAAAAAGACTTGGTTATTTGGGAGATATAGTATATGTGGAAGAAGGAGGGAAAATAAGACACTCTGCCTTCTTGTATGAACTTTGAGTAGATGCAGTTCTGAACATTACCATTCATATGGAAAGGGACCATGAGAGAAAGAGAAGGAAAGCTGAGAAGACTGGGAGGGAAAATTGAAGAAAGAGGCAAACGGCATAATAAAAAGCATCACTTCAGAAAATACTGCAGTGTCAGTGATGAAATGTTCAAAAATATCCCATCCCTTCACCATCTCTATCCTGTTTCTTTGGAAGCTTTATATACACCAAATACATTGTGATGAACCTGGGACTTCCTTGGGGTAGCAGAGGTGAAGATATTTTAAGGGAAGTAGAAAATGAATTACAAACAGCTAGAGGCTCGTATCAGAATGCCCTACATCTCCTTCAACATGAGTGATCTTGAATCAGACTAGAACCAATATTCCTACAGTTTATTGCCAATAAGTGAGGTTAGCAGTAGTTTGTAATCTTACAGATAGGAATACAGTCTGTGTACAGGAAGGACAAGCATACTCTTGCATTCCCATGATGAGAATATGAATATATTTTCCCAGAAAGATGATTATTTGCAGTGGTTATTTCCGTAGTATGCCTATTCCTTGGAAATATAGGTTCAATTACCTGACAAAGAACCTAACTATCTTTATTTGGAACTTGGAATACACTTTCCCATTCAAAAAATCTTGTTAGAGGATAATTTAGAGTTGTAACCATTTGGAAACTACTTATACTGTATATTAATAAAAATCAAATTTGAAAATTGTGTGAAGGTGAGTCTGTTCTAAGAGCAATAAAGTAGATCACTAAGCTACTCCAATTTGTGATTAAGGAGACTATATTCAGAATTGCTCTTTATTTTTTAGCTTGTCAGCAGTTTAATTTCTGTTTCCTGGTTGTTTGTTTGTTTGTTTGTTTGTTTTTGTTTTTTGGCCTCTCCCCTGTTTGCTGCATATATAGAAATCCATATTATACTTCATGTGAAAATAAAATTTTATATAGTTCCCTCTTCTATACAAAGTTTGATAATTCTAAGGAGAGGGCTTAAAGTTTTAATCCTCTAATTGTCAAAAAGGCTGGGAGCATTAAGAAGCTTACTGAAGAGTTGAGTTGTGCTATAATTTTGTTTTCTAGGATTTGAGTTTCGAAGAACCATTAAAAAGCCTGTGTTTGGCAGTGATCAGTTGGTTGCTTTGATACTCAAGTGGCACCCTGATACCTTGGTATTGGCTTATTTTTGCCATGTTTAAAATGAAAATCAGGTTGAGGACTTCTAGAGCTTTAAAGCCCTTTCAACTGTCAAATAAAAATAATTTCTAAAGTGTTAGGACATCTTGAGGTCCTACTGTGAACAAGCAATGCAGGTGTTTTCTTTCTAATTTTATTTCAGATATCTCTACCACAGGACCCCTTGGCATGGGAAGCACGACCACCAGTACCACCCTTCAGACCACAACTTTGAGCCCAGGAAGGAGTACCACCCCGTCAGTGTCAGGAAGAAGAAACCGGAGTACTAGCACCCCATATCCAGCTGTTGAGGTGCTTGATGACATGACCACACACCTTCCATCAGCATCGTCCCAAATCCCAGCTCTCGAAGAGAGCTGTGAGCCTGTGGAAGCCCGAGAAATCATGTGGTTTAAGACCCGTCAAGGACAGATAGCAAAGCAGCCATGCCCTGCAGGAACTATAGGTATGTCTGTGCTAAAGCACTGAGTTAAAACTGTTGTGTTACTTTGGCTTTATTTTCTAGTGTTCTTTTCCTTTTCCTTCCTCCCTCCCTCCATCCCTCCCTCCTTGTCTCTCTTTTCTTTTCTTTTCTCTTTTCATTTCTTTTCTTTTGTCTTTTCTTTTTTCTTTTCTTTTCTTTCTTTCTCTTTCTTTCTTTCTTCCATCTTTCTTTCCTCTTTCTTATTTTCATTACAACATATTTTATTACTTGACATTTGACTAAATTCTGAACTCAGCTAAATTATAATTTAAAGCTATCTATTTTCCAGTTTGAAAATGTAACCTGATTAAGTCACAGGTAACCTGTGAGATCTGCGTTTTGCCCTCATAGTCTCAGGTCTCTGGGTCAAGGTAAAGTTAGGCTGTAGATGTTCAGGCTACTCTAGAGGCTCAGCTTTTCTATGCAGCAGTCCAGAGGGGATTACTTGATTGCTGGGAGTTAGTCTCATGCTTATCACCAACCATCAGATATTGATTGCAGAAAATGAGGTCGAGGACTTCTATATTAGAAGATTATCATGGAAACGACCTAACATGTTACAAAAGAGAACGTTTGACTCTCCTTTTTATCAGCCATTGTAGTTGTCCTCTGATGGTCAAAGGCTCTTAACACTGTTGGGGACCACGCTGTAGGAGTCAACCTAGCACTCATGCATCCACCAGAGAACAATCCTGCATTGTTTCCTCTAGGGGATAGATAAGAACTCAATATTTCTTTTCTTTTTTTTTTTTTTTTTTTGAGGTGGCATCTCAGTCTGTCGCCCAGGCTGGAGTGCAGCGGCGTGATCTCGGCTCACCCTCTGCCTCCAGGGTTCAAGAGATTCTCCTTCCTCAGCTTCCTGAGTAGCTGGGATTACAGGCGCCCACCACCATGCCCAGCTAATTTTTGTGCGTGTGTATGTGTTTTTAGTAGAGACAGGTTTCGCCATGTTGGCCAGGCTGGTCTCAAACTCCTGACCTCAGGTGATCCACCAGCCTCAGCTTCCCAAATTTCTGGGAGTATAGGCATGAACCACTGCGCCCAGCCTTCTTTGCCTATTTTATTACTGATATAATTCATAATATCTTCATATGGTAACCATATTATTATTTATTTTGCTTAAGCAAAGGTATTCTGATTTTCTTATTGTTGCATACATTGATATTCGTAAATGAATACTTGTCATGTTTGCATTATTCTCTAAAATATGTAAATAAGAGAAATTCACAATATATGTCACCTCGCATTCTCAGGGACTTTCTCCTTGGGTATTATTGATTTGGCTCCTTTAAGGAAAGAAGTTTTTTTTTAGAAAGTTCTGATATAGGTATATCATTTCATATTCCGTGGTATAGGAAATGGTGGGTGGGAAGACCAAAGGGTATCTTGATTTTTATAAAAAATACACTTTTTTCCAGCAAAATATTTAAAAACATTCAAAAATATTCATTTTCTTTAAGAAAAAGAGGGAGAATATTTATTTGTAAAGTTTTCTGTGATCCTGGTATCAGAGAACAGTTGGGAGCCACCTTCTTTCTTAGCTCTGTTTCCTTAGTTCTAGGTTTCAGTTCCTTTACTTCTAAAAGAAAAATAATAATAGCCCCCTACTGCAGAACTTTGTTTTGAAGATTAGTGAAACACTTTATTTGAAAGCACTTTGCTCTGCAGAAATGTGTCATTATTTTTCTGTGACAATTGGAAAAGATATTTTCTGAAGCCCTCAGGGATTACTGTCAATACACCCCAGTCTCATTGTTACTCATCTCTGTCCATTCTGTTATGCCTTTGTCTAGGCCCCCACAGTCTCTCACTTGAATTATTGCAGTAGCTTCCTCACCATCACTCCATTACTCTCTGAAATTCATCTTCCATGTTCCTGCCAGAAATATCATTTCAAAACTCAAATTTGCTCATCATCTATCTCCTCTTTTAATATTCTCATTGATTTTCCAGCACCCACAGATGATAGACAAGGGAGTTTATGATCTGGCTTACTTTTCCACTTTCATTAAATACAACTCCCCAGTCCAGTAGACCCCAGTTCAAAAAAACTTGACGTTTCCCAAAGAGCATATATTTTTCCACCTGGAATGGCCTTTTCCACCTTGTTTTTTTTTTTCTGAAAAACCTGCACACTTACTCCTTTAAGGCTCAGCTGCTACTTTTCCTCTACAAAGTCAAGCACTAAGCTCCACGGAGGCACATATCACATCATCTCACACATGAAATTCTTTAAAAACAGTCCCCAGCTGGACACGGTGCCTCACGCCTGTAATCCCAGAACTTTGGGAGGACAAGGCAGGTGGATCACGAGGTCAGGAGTTTGAGACCAGCCTGGCCAATATGCTGAAACCCTGTTTCTACTAAAAATGCAAAAATTAGCCGGGCGTGGTGGGGTGCACCTGTAGTCCCAGCTACTTGGGAGGCTGAGGCAGGAGAATCACTTGAACCCGGGAGGCAGAGGTTGCGGTGAGCCGAGATCTTGCCACTGCCCTCCAGCCTGGGTGACAGAGCGAGACTCCGTCTCAAACAAAACAAAACAAAACAGTCCCCATACCTAATGTGGCTGCCACAAGTGCTTCAAATATATTGTATGTTTTTGTTTGGAGTACTACATTTCTCTAGTGCTAAATGCTTACCTGGCACTGTATCTGGTGTTTTAATAAACATTGTGTCAATTTAATTATCTCATTTTTACCTTTGCTCATTTTTAAATATACTATGGATGTGAAGTCATTCTCAGAAAAAGAAACAGATATATTTCTCTCATTATTATAGGTGTATCAACTTATCTATGCCTTGCTCCTGATGGAATTTGGGATCCCCAAGGACCAGATCTCAGCAACTGTTCTTCTCCTTGGGTCAATCATATAACACAGAAGGTAAATCTTGTGACTAACAAGAAAGTCTTTGCTAAAACTATGTTATCTGCTGTTGATGATAGCTGTTGGAAACAAAACAGTCAAGAATTCTTTTAAAATCAATGTAGAAAAATTCTTCCATTTTAATTTAATTTCACATTTAATGACAACCTCTAATACGTTATGAGCTAATTCTAGAATTTTGTTGTTTTTAAAGTGCAAATCCATGAATTTCCTCTTATATTGCTTATAATAATTTTATTATTAATAAAATTTCTATGGTATTGTGAACTACAGATATAAAAGTCCAAGAGGCATTATAAATTAAGCAAGTAAAAGTTTCTAGCATACATATATATGGGTTTTCCTGTGGAAATAATAATTATAACTTTTCAAAGTCTACCTTTGGAATCTTAAGGCATCTGATTAATGTTCTGTAACCTAGTCATTTATCAGTGTTAAAAGTATACACATGTGTGACAGAATCTTGCAGACTCAAATTTTCAGAGCTTATTTGGTTGCAATATGTTGAACATTTTTATTATTAATGCACTGTGGGGCTTTGAATTGATTTCATTACAAACAGAGACCAGATGTGCATTTATGCCAAAAGGGTTATGGGATGAATCCTTATTATAGCAATTTATGTGAATTTATGCACTCCTAAAATGGAGAGTCCTTCTATGGCACATTAGCTATGCTGAGGAATTTCTGAGAGAGATTTTCCCGAGAAATATTACAAATGATGACCTTACTAAAAGCCTGCCTGTGCCATTTGCTGTTTTCTCTATTTGTTTTTAACCAGACTTATCCTCAATAATATACTGTATAATAATCCATAAATATCTACCCAGTAGATCATTTAGCAGATGAGCCATAACTATCTATTTACCCTAAATCATGGAAGAATAGTGGTTATATTGACTCTAGTTACCCTCTTACATATGCATCTCCATACTTGTTGCTATTCATAATGATGCTTCTCCAATTTCAGCACTGTTCCTGCCACAGTTTTTATGTCCTTTGATTTTATTACAATGTAGCTCAGACCCCAGGGCAAATAACTCTTGCTGGATGTGATCAGATTAAAAGATCAGTAGCATATCTCCTTGCATTAGCAATTCTTTAAAAACAGTCCCTAGATACTTAGCCCAGGGGTTAATATAAATTCAATAATAATTCTTCTAGAAGGCTGAATGTTTTCACGATAATTTCTGAATATAGTTGGATCATTTTATTGTAGAAATTACTAGGTGACTTTAACTGATAATGATGCTTAATTCTTTTCTTTTCTCTGCAGCCCAGCTAATCTTAGGACAAAAGATAATTCAAAGACCAGACAGCTGTTGTCCATTTGATTTATAGACAGGATGTTTTTGTTTTGTAAAAAAATACCTCCTATTCTTCCAGGGCATTTTTGTTTCATCCTGTAGAGTCTACAAAACTATGTTATGTGATCATTACATTTAAACTTAAATAACTTAGGTAATTGGAACTTATAAAAAAAATCTTAGATTGATTACTCAAAAATTTATAAAGTCTTAAAAAGTGCAGCAAGAGACTTTTGAGCACTCTGAATCAGCTTATGTAACTTGTCCAAGGTCAGTGGTGGAGCTGGTATTTGGTGGAGAAGAAGTCAGTGGTGGAGAAGGTAGTTGAGACTACTTTCATGAAGACATCATACTTAACCACAACACTGGTTAAACCATGGATAGCTTGTGATTGGCTTCATAGCCTTACACTCAGTTACCTATGCTGTCCCTCTGCACTCTGCCTACCCTTTTACTTGGTTTTGTCCTTTATGCCTCCAAATATTTATGATACTCATTGGCTATAAATGATAGTTGAACAGGTTTCTTTACCACAAAACTCTAACACTTTTAAATATTAGTATTGAAAACTTCAAGAATCTGTTGTAGCATTCATAGGATTATTTGTCTATATTTTATCCTCCTCCTACCCAGGCTGTCTTTCATAGAATTCATCCCTTTTCTCATCTCCTTCCTCTCATTGTAATACCTGCGTAATACCAGAGTCCACACAGATGGAACACTTGAGGAGGTTTTGTTTACAAAGGTATGGGACAGTAAAGGCAAACTGCAAGGGATTGAGCAGGAACTCAGAGCTTGTAGCAGGGGAGGAGCTGTTCCCAACCCCAGGCCTATAGAGTACCAGATCAAAGGAGTGACCAAAAATAAGGAGCTCTTTGTCCTTGGGAAGAAAGATGATCTTAAGGCAAGGGACACAGCTTAGCCCCAGGTGGCCATTCAGAAAGGAATCCAGGTGAATGAATACCCTGACCTTACTTACCGTCCACTGTCCATTTACCTGCCAAGCCACCCCACTGGCCAAACCCAACCAGAAGCCAAAGAAGGACACACTTAATGACTACCTTGTAAGTCCACCTTGTAGGGCAGAAGGCAGGATGGAGAAGGGTAGAGTAGCCCTGAACTAGCAAATGGAAGGTACCCAACATAGTCCTTGGCTTTTCTCCACTCCCTTCTCTCACCCTTCTTCCTTTTCCCATTGAATCAGCATTGTTGTCTAGGGTAAGCGCTCATGGCTCATCATCTAGAGCCAAGAAGATTAAGGACACAGACACACGCAAGGAGTGAGTTTAGGAGCAGAGGTTTAATAGGCAAAAGAAGCGAAAGGAGAACAGCTCTCTCTCTTGTGAGAGAGAGAGGGGGGCTCCAAAATGGGAATTCCAACCTGGAGTGGTAGTTCACCGGATTTTATAGGTAGGCTTGAGGAGATGGTGTCTGATTTATGTAAGGCCCAAGATTGGTTGGACCAGGTGTGATGTTTACATAGCCTGCAGGGAAGGCTGGAAGGCTAGCCACCCCACCCTAATCTTTTTTTTTTTTTTTTTTTTTTGAGATGAAGTCTTGCTCTGTCACCCAGGCTGGAGTACACTGGCACTGTTTTGGCTCACTGCAACCTCCACCTCCCAGGTTCAAGCAATTCTCTTGCCTCAGCCTCCCAAAGCTGGGACTACAGGCGCACACTGCAACACCTGGCTAATTTTTTGTATTTTAGTAGAGATGAGGTTTCACCATGTTGTCCAGGCTGGTCTCAAACTCCTGAGCTCAGGCAGTCTGCCTGCTACGGCCTCCCAAAGTGCTAGGATTAGAGGAGTGAGCCATCATGCCCCACCACACTAATCTTATTATGCAAATAGGCTTTCCACTTGGCCTGCCATGTTGCCTGCTCCTTACTGTGCACGTGGCTGGCAAAGGGAAGGAGCTGCCATTTTGAACATGCCTAGTCCCAGGTAGCCTTCTCTTGTCAGCACAGCTGCCAGCAATCACCTGTGCAAGCTTCTAGCTTGCCTTTCTATGTCTGCAGCTTGATTTTACAGGCTACTCTTTGTTAGAAAAGAAATGATTTTGGGGCTGCTTTTCTTTAAAAGGAAAACCTTACTGAGGACTTTCTTACCCTAACTACCTAAATAATTTCTTTTTAATTCCTGTATCACCATCTCCTTCTCTTTCCTTTGCCCTTCACCTCCCCTCTCCTCCCTCTTTGATTTCCTTTTTCCCACACACTCTTTGCTCTGATCTCCTACCTCTTTCCATTTCTGCAACTGATGTTTTTCTGCCATCTACCACGTTGAAAAATTGAAGTCAAATAGATATCTTTAATGTTTCATTCTTCCTGCTACCCTCCCCCTGCTGCCAGTATAGTTTTGTGAATTTCAAACTCGTAAAGCAAAGAAATGCTTTTTACCCCCAATGGAAACACAAGTGAAAAAAACACAATATACACATGCAAAGAAAAAAAAAGTATATATTTGAAATGCTAGTTTTCTTCTTCTCAGGGATTTTGTGAATTAATGTACCCTGAAGGGTGAGTCCACTTGGACTGCTGTGGTTTATGGTTAAAAAAACAAACAAGGCCGGGCACAGTGGCTCACATCTGTAATCCCAACACTTTGGGAGGCTGAGGCAGGCAGATCACGAGGTCAGGAGATCGAGACCATCCTGGCTAACACAGTGAAACCCCATCTCTATAAAAAAATACAAAAAATTAGCCAGGTGTGGTGGCAGGCGCCTGTGGTTCTAGCTACTCGGGAGGCTGAGGCAGGAGAATGGTGTGAACCCGGGAGGCGAAGCTTGCAGTGAGCCAAGATCATGCCACTGTACTCCAGCCTGGGCTACAGAGTGAACCTCCATCTCAAAAAAAAAAAAAAAAAAAAAAAAAAAAAAAAAAAAATTAAAATTAAAATTAAAATACAAACCATAGACGAGGTAGCTTATAAACAACAGAAGTATATTTTCCATGGTTCCGGAGGCTGGAAAGTCCAAGATCAAGGTGCCGGCAGATCCTTTGTGAGGGTCTGCTTTCTGGTTCATCAGCAGCACCTTCTCACTGAATCCTCACATGGTGGAAGGGACAGCTCTCTGGGGCTTCATTTATAAGGGCACTAATCCCAGTCATTAGGGCTCTGGCCTCATGACCTAATCCCTTCCCACAGGCCCCACCTCTTAACACTATCACATTGAGGATTCAATGTTAACATGTGAATTTTAGAGGGACATAAACTTTCAGATCACTGCAACCTCCTTCTCATCTTTACAGTGCCCCGGAGAACTCCTAAGAATGTTGAAGGAAAGAGCACTGACCTGAGGATCTTGATTGTTGAGTTATGGTGGACACATCATTAACCTCTGGATTGGTTTCCCCTTTTGTAAAATAGAGTAGATCATTAATTTTAGTGCTCACTAAATTTTAGACATACAGTGCTCACTGTATGTCACCACCATTATAGATTGCATAGGTAGCAGTTATACTCAACTAAATGAACCAAGTTGCTGACTTTAGTTCAAAATAGGAAATCTTACGTTTACATTTTCTTGAAAACATGAATTATGTTTTTTTTCCCCCAGCAATCAGGCCAAGTGGGAGAAAACAGCTAAAGAATCTTGATGGTTTCAACTCACAAATGAATTTGAGTCACTTATGTACTTGTGAAGTTAGAGATTAAGTTCTGTGTGACACCTAAGAGTGGATTACTTTTC